GATTAACGAGTGATATTTTTTACGTTTATATTCCTTTTCTACGCATCTAATTACATAATATTACTAAGTTTTAGCCACATCAATGAGGAGGAGGAGCAGAGTAAGCAAACAATAGTCTTTGAAATGTTGCCAGTACGGAATGTAAGCCAAACGGCATGACTTTGAATTGTATAAGTCCTCGGCCGGGCACAGTGAATGCGGTAATTGACCGACTATTAACTGTTAGTGGCACTTGCCAATATCCGCTTTTTAATCGAGCGTTGTAAAGTTGCTCCTCTTAACTTATCTAATGTTGCCGTGATCTGAGGCATAGAACGGGTAAGCATCCCGTTCTGTTACATCGTTGACTTTTCTAAAGTCTACACAAAATCGATGTTTCCCATCCTTCTTTTTTACTAAAACTATCGGGGGACTCCATGCGCTTCGGGAGCTTTCTATAATCCCTTCCTTTCTATTTCTGCCATTTCTCAATCTATTATTTCCTGCATCGCCGGATTCTTAGGTCGATATCATTGTTTAATCGGTTCTGTACCTTGAATTTTATTTTGTGTCGGACCATGTCCGTTGGTCTCTTGATATTCTCGAACTTCTGAAATTCTTCTTCTAAAAATTTCCTTAAATGTGCATCCTCTTCTTCGGTGCTCCATTCCCTCTGAAATAATTCACGTCCTTGTATCACGTCGTGTTCGTAGCTTATTCTTCGACGGTTGAATTGATATTCCTAATTTCGCCCATAACGCCGACTAGCATTGCTATTTCTACTGTGGGCAGTATGTGGAATCGATGTTCATACTGCTTCTTATTTATTTTTATCGGCAGGCTTATGCTTCCTGTTAACTTATGTTAACTGGGTACTCTTTCCGTCCGCTAACCGAACTATTTGTGTACTTTTTCGGCTTGCCTGTTGATCGGTTTTCATTTTTTCTGCAGTTTCCTGATTAATACAGGATATCTCTGATTCTATATCGAGTAGTGCATCGAATTCTTTTCCATATACTTCAATTCTTATTTGCGGTCTCGGTGTGTATTTAATTTTAGGCAATTTTATGACCGGGGATCGCCTTCTTCCCCGGTCCGAGTATAGTTTCCCTGTCTTGGATGACAATTTTTTGTCAATACGCCATTTTTTCCACATTGTGAGCAGAACTTCTTTAGCTTATTGCGACACATTCTCCTTGTATATCCCCTTTGTTTGCACCTCCAACAGCATTCTGAGGCCTTGTATATTGCGGCTGCCATCGGCACTCGTGGCACCGGTCTTGCCTCTCTCCGAAACGCCGCTCGTTACCGTTCGATATCTTCGATTTCAGCGGCCCTTACTTCAAGCTCGCCTAGGTATGTACGCTTTCCCTCCGGATGTGCATCTTTAGACCCATGTTTTCATAGACCTGTTTTCATAGACCTGTTCTATATAGTCGCGACGCGAGAACCCTCCCGCTCGTCACATTAGTGTGTCGAAATCAGTGGCGTATTGCCGAAATAATTCATTCGGTCGTTGCTTCCTTCGCTGGATTTCTTGTTTCATCTGGAAACTATAGCGATATGGAAAGAAATGTTCCCTGAATACTCTTACAAATTCTTTCCATCCTCTCCATGAACTCTTATTATTCCAATCCAATCTATTATCGGTACCAATGGAGTATCCACCCTCTTAATAATTCCGGTAGACCTTGCAACATTTGGTCATACGTATAGCCGTAGCTACTTTGTAATTTCTCGATCCGTTCTAAAAATGAAACGGGGTCTTTGCCATCAAACTGGCATCCCCATTTTCTTATCTGATTAATCGTTTTTGCGATTATATCTTGGTCGACGCTTTGCATCGTTTCTGATGCATGGCTTACTTTATCCTCTTCGTTTATGAAGACTTGCGGATTATCCATTATACCAGGTCTGTAAATATGAAACCGGAATTTGCCTATAGATGGCCCTAGCTGTCAATGTAGTTACCGTTGGGTGTATATCAGTTGGACACGGGGCAATTGGACACAGTCCAATCACAAGTCGCTGTTCCAAGGGACCCTACAAATGTCTCTAATCACACGGTGCTGTGATTGGCTGTGTCCAAATGCACCGTGTCCAAGTGCACCGCTCCCGTTACCGTTAAACCGCGTCATTGGCGCCATTTCCTTGTTGACATTTTTGACAAAGATTTTCAACTCACAACAATACAAGTTTCATACAACAACATAGTTTGTAATAGCGTTGAACATGTCGAATTTTGTGCCTGGAAACTACGATTTGCGCACAGCATTGATTTTCTGTTACTATTTGAAAAAAACTGCTGTAGAATCGCAACGAATGCTTGTCGAAGCTTACGGTGAGCATGCTCTTGGTAAATCACAGTGGT